GGTAAGCAGTTTGTCTTTTGTTCAGGAAAATGCACACTTCCAAACAAAGCCCTGGGTTACAGCCACCTACCACTTTACTTTTTGCGGGGCCCAGAAGCACTCTTGCAGATAACAGCAGTGTTAAGAGGTGACCCTTTACTTTGCATATCAAGCACCCTTCCAGCTTTTTTTCCAAAGAAAAGAGCTTTAAAACCATCGGGAGAGGCAGAGAACTTGGCAGACACTGAGGCTGGTATCCAGAGGTGCACAAAAGATACCTGCTCCAGAGTGTCTGGCAAATGCCTTTCCTCCCACCCATTTTTTTTTTTAGCCAAATTGAATCAGGAGCCTTTCAAATGCCAAGCAGATCAAAGAGAACCTCTATTTGGCCCACAAGAAGCTTCCATGTATTGCCAGGATCAGAGCCCATCAGCTGGAAAACTCCCTGAGCTTTTCTGAAGGGTTTTAGGAAGTTGTTCAGAAATTATCCTGAACCTTCATACTTACATGATGTTTACAGCCACAGCACAGCCGGAAGTGATCAGCATTGCATCTCCTTCTATCTCATAGTCCCCAGAAATCAGTCGCTGCACTGCTAGATAAACTAGCACACCAGTTACCACCCAGATAGAGAGTACAGACAGCAGGGCTCCCAAAATCTCTGCAGCAAAAGTCAGAAAAATTTGGTTGGGCGTTAAAGGTTGGAAAACTCCCAAGCTTGCCCTGGCTGACTCACTGATCCAAGGTACAATTAATGAGAAGTAGATCTGCCAAATACTCATGAACTAAATGTTCTTTCAGCAAATCAGTTCATTCTGCCATTAAATGAAAGAGCAATTGATTCATTTCAGCCCAGCCCTATCTGAGCAGATGGCTTCCATGGTGATCTTAGTTTGGTTTAGCTTCTATGCAGTTAACCATGGTATAATGACCAAACCACAGTTGGCTCAGTTTTCATATGAAGCCAAAGCTTAACAAATGACATTAACAGCTTTGTGTTTTTATCAGCTATTATGTTTTTACTGTCCTTTATGGTATAAACTGCCAAGAGTTGTCTTCTGGATGGATGGATGGATGGATGGATGGATGGATGGATGGATGGAAGGAAGGAAGGAGAGAGAGAGAGAGAGAGTCAGCCAATATGTCTGTTTTCCTGGTTTTCCCCCTAAGCTCTGTAATAAGGAACATAGGAGCCATGCTGGATTCAACTATTCATCAAGTGAAAGAGAGTTGCATTAAAGGCAGGAATTCAAGTACCAGGTGAAGAGTTTTACACACATCCTTATAAACAAATTTTGAGATTTGATGGCATCTATATTTCAGCCAATGCCTACAGTGTGGGCATTGGTCTCTTAGTAGGGTTAAGGGACCAATGGAGAGGTGGTGCTAAAAACCAGTGACCAGTTGTGTTCCAGTTAAGCCACTATAGGTAAGTACTTGCAAGTTTGGGGGTGAGTGTGTATCTGTTTGTGATAAGACAATACAGGCAGAGGTTCAGGGAGCTGCCTGGATCACTGGGGACAGAACAGCTAGAGGAAGCTCCTGGGCAAGAGGAAGACAAGGAACTGAAGACAAGGGCAAGGGGAAGACAAGGAACTAAGGGAAAGTCACTGTACTGGGAAGGCAACAGAAAAAGTGTCATTGAAGATCGGCAATATGCCATCCACAGCAGGCCGAGCAGGTGTCCAGAAAAAAGACACAGGTTTTGTTTATAACTTTGCTTTACAAAGGGAAACTCAAGAGCAAACCAAGAAAAACTTTACAAAAACACATATTCTGATGGAAGTATCAAAAATCAAACAGTATATGTACATTTATGTAAAAAAGACATATTCCATTTCTGTATTTTTGACATGAATGTGAAAGACTGTGCATTAAGTGGTACCACTTGAACAGTAAAAGTTAAATGACCAAAATAAAGGACAAAAGTGAGTTTTTAAAAAATAAATAAATCTAAAGGACAACTTTCTAAAATAAAGGACTGTACTTTATAATAAAGGACAGATGATCACTGTAATTATATATGGCGTATATAAATAAATACATACATACCTAACTCTTCCCCAAAAGAACAACATAAATTACAAATGCACCCAGGTCTACTGTCCATACCAAAAGCCCATCAGAACAGGATGGTCTTAGCCATTTTGCAAAATGCCAGCCAGGTCAGAATGCCACAGGAATATTGCAAGGGCAGGGTATTCCATGATGTGGGGGCCTCCACTGAGAAGATGTGCCTCTAAGCTCTCACTCTTTTTCTCTCATGTACAGAAGGTGCAGGAAGGGCCGATTCTGGTCATGAGACACCACCCTGGGAATACAGGCATCTGAAATACTTCATAGAGGGAATAAAAGGGGATGTAGAACTTGTGCATAACTTTACCCAAGGTTGCAAGTCCCATGGATGGATTCTGGCACTCTCCCCTCTCTGATGCCAGGCATTTCCACTCAAGGGTATCCACAAGGTATTATCAAAAAAATTCAAGATGGTGACCATGATGATGCAATCAAAGCTCTGTTGGTTTCTTATGCATGCCTTTGCTCCCTATTGCAACATCACACCACACCAGTTGAAGACAACAGACAATTGCCTCACACCGAGCAACGCTGACAATAAGGAGCAAAGAATCACTGCTCATCCTCAAGAGGTTGCAGATTGGGGGCCATTTTTCCTTTGTAGCGCTCCTCCATTTTCTAACTACAGGGAGCACCAGTTGGCTCCAAAGGAAGGTGAAGATACTTGCCAAGCACTGCGCAGTGAGACAAAATGTTCTACTTACAGTTAGTGTGAGGGTGAAGCTGCAAGGAAGGGCCAGCATCCCTTCAATTTCACCCTTACTTGCTTAAGAGGGAGATGCAAAGCTTTCAAAGCAGCATTCCTCTTAAAGGACCAGCTAGAGTAGCTAAACTCAGAAGCCAAGAGGGGAGCCAGGAGTTTTCTCCAAAGGAAAAATGGCCCCATCAGGTCAGCAGAAAACCAGCTGTTTCAGCTGAAAACCAGCTTCAAAGCCATTCTTGTCCCCACCACAGCTAAACCACAAGGAAACTGGCTTAGCTGCTTAGAGAAAATGCGGGATGACCCAGGTGTTGAATCGATCTGAGAGGGGTGCAAATGAATTTGTGTGGAAGTCCCCTCTGCAAATATTGTGCTAATATTTGGCCTGCATTGTGGGGGTATGAAAAAGTTGATTGAGATAACAGGCATGTCTGGGACACATGTGAAATGTGGCACATAAATTACTGATTATTATGGTTGGTCGCACAGTCAGCCAGATGTTCAAACTGGATTTGGCATTTTTATCTACCTATCAAGACCTTCCCAAGGACCTGGGATAGGCAGATGTTGTTGTTTGATGGTGTTAAAGGTATCATCGCAGGACGTCAGCTGTTCCAAGTAAAGCTGCCTTTTGCAATGGACTGATGATTTTGTCAATGCCGATGGTCTTTAATATTATTATTATTATTAATTATTATTATGGTTGGTTGCACAGTCAGCCAGAAGTTTAGACTGGATCTGATTATTACTAGTAGTAGTATTAGTATTAGTATCAGAAAATAAATGAGACTTAATTCTGTTCTGGGCCAGGTGCGTATCTTTTCTTCTTAAAGCGGAAACAGTTCAATCATTGGAAATTCTATTATCCCTGCTCTGAAGTCTGCATTTGGTGGGCCATCAAACCAACTCTACCCGGTTCTCAGTTCAACCCTGTGTATATTTACCCAAACATAAACTACATCCATCTTCACGGGGCTCACATTCCAGGAAGCCCACATCCCCCTACAGCTCCGGATTACCTGCTCTATGCCATCCAAAATTCATCCTTTTAGTAGGCTGTCGAGATGACATCCAGAGAGAAAAGAGGCTGATCATCATGCTGGCAAAATCAGTCAACAGGTGGGCTGCGTCGGTCATAATGGCCAGGCTGTGCGCAAAGTATCCTCCTGGAGAGAATAAGAGAGGGTTATGGGCTGTGCCCCAATTTTCCTTCCTGGTCAAGAGTCTCTGCCTAGCTTTCTCACTGCCATGCTAGATTTCTACATGCCTGGAGCATTTCAAGTCAGGAGCGTGCCTGCTCAAGGTGTTCATAGCAGACACGATCTTAGGGATGTCTGCCAGCCCCACGAGGTAGACTAGACCAGGAAATCAACTCCACAGGAAGGCTCAAACTACTTTTATTGAGATTGGCTATAACAGTGTTTCTCAACCTTGGCAACTTGAAGACGTGTGGACTTCAACTCCTAGAGTTCTCCAGCCAGCCATGCTGGCTGGGGAAATCTGGGAGTT